CCGAATAAACTAAGCCATATGTACCCAAATGTCTCAGATAAGTGTTGGAAATGTGGAGAACAAACGGGCACATTCTTCCACATGTGGTGGACGTGCAAAGAAACAACTAAGTTCTGGGCATCTATACATGAAGAAATACAAAAGATACTGAAGAGAAGGTTTAGAAAGAAACCTGAATATTATTTATTAGGATTTACGGACTTTGACCTTAAAGTAGAGGAAAATGAAGATAAATTATTCACGTACTTTACTACTGCGGCAAGAATTATTTTTGCCAAATTTTGGAAAAATGAACAGATACCTACTGTTGAAGAATGGTTGGAGAAAGTCAAAGAAATTAGAGACATGGACGAATTGACATTTTTAATGAGAAGAAATACCGGGAAACCGCTAAAGAGAACAGACTGGACTTCTTTTTATGATTATGAAAAGAAATTTAGAAAAATATTAGAGGATAAGAATAGACAAGAGTAGAAGAAGTTGATGGAAAAGATCCTGATGTTGGAGTGGAAGTCATTTTAGAATAGTTTAGGTTAGTTTAGTCTCTTTTTTGTCGTTTTTTTTGTCCTTTTTTCTTTTTTCCTACTTTTCTATTTTCTTCTTATTGTTCCCCCTCTTTCGTTGTCCTGTTTTATAAAATACTTAATAAAAATCATTTAAAAAAAAAACTGTGTCAAATTAAAACTGATGATCCAAGCAAGCTATGTTTAAGTTTTTCGTGCAGTTTTACCCTTGAAGCCTGATCATGGTGATTTACAAGTTTTTTTGTGTCAGGATCAACTTGAGAAACTGCAAGTTGCTTCTGGTGTGAGAGAATTGACCATCTGCCCAGAGGACGCCGGGATGTTTTACCATCCGGTGGGAGGCTTCTTTCACGTCCCCACATGAGAAGCTGGAGCTGACAGATGGGAAATCACTCTGCTCCCTGAATTTGGTCAGCTGTCCTGCCAGCACAAGGGTTTAACCCATTGTGCCACCAGGGGCTCGATTTACAAATAAAAGACTAATTTTAAAATGCCACCTACTTCCTTGTCCTAGGGTTTACAGTCTAACGAAGTCGTGATACAAAAAGGGAAGGGATTAAGTCTAGGTGATACTGCTTCTTTTTTCTTTCCCTTCAAGGCCAGGACAGTGGTAGTTGGAATGGAGGAAGGGCCTTTCATCTGCATCTGGTTTAGGAATTAACCTTGTACTTTGTCCCCTTCATCCCCCCCCCCCCCATCATTTCTTCTGGCATTGCTACTACTATGTAAACACAACTATAGGTAGTCCCCAAGTTAGGAATGAAATAGGTTCTGTAGGTTTGTTCTTAAGGTGAATTTGGTTGTAAGTTGGAAAGTTACATTTTATAAGTTTAACAATGTATATATATATGTGTAGCTTTGGATAGCATAGGGAAGCGCTAACACCCTTGGTGTTTGTTTTGCTGCCTGTCCCCCTGTTCAGAAGATTTCACCTCACTTTCTGTTCCTGTGATAACTGGATTTTGGGGAAAAAAACTGGCTTGTTGTGGAAACAAGGATTGGAGATAAAGCTTCAGTGGAGACACCTTTTCCCCATGATAACTCTTCCAGGAGTGAATTTCCCATCCAATGGGAAGATTTCTCCCACTTCCTGTTGCCTCACCTCTGTTCTTAACTATGAGTCACTTGTAAATCGGATGTTTGCAACTCAGGGACTGCCTTTACTGCCCTTTACATTACTTGATGCTTCTTGCCTTTCTTTTCTTGTGAGGTGGTAGAATTGGGCTTACTAGGCTTCTGGAGGTGAGAAAGAGAACTCTCCTTGCATAAGGCAACCCATCCTTGCATTTCTCTTAATGTTTTTATGGAAATCAAGCAAAATGAGTTTAATGCAGTGTGTGGTGGAGATATTACAGGCAAAGGCGCCTCCATGCATGGTTTCTTCCTCTGACAAACCCACTGTTAGGAATTGTGGGAATTGAAGTCCAAAACACCTGGAGGAACGAAGTTTGCCCATGCCCAGGTTGGATGGAAAGAGGCCACTTCTTAGGGACCAAGAGGGAGTCTGCCCTTGCCTTCTGCTGGGATGGTTTCAGCTGCTCCTTTCCCACGTATATCATCTTGTGCTGAAATTTGGGCAGCTGCCTAAACAAATAGTAGTCTTGAAGGCCATTTGTTGGCAAAGAGGCGTATAGTGAGGCAGTGAACACATTAAACAAATAAACAAATCTTTCTGTACCTTCCGGAAGAAGAATTCATGTGAAAGAACAGAGAGGAAAAAGAGACTTTTAGGTGAAATAATGGAGAGGGTGAAGAGACAAGAAAGAGTGATAGATTGGATTCATTCATACATTTTTCCCATCAGAGCAATGGTACAATCGTGTGCTGTTAAATACATCTTTGTCAAATAAGTACAGTTGGCCAGGGATCCTGTGGATACTGAAATCGTGGGTGTTCGAGCCCCATTTTATAGAATGACATAGAAAAATGGTACAATGGCAAGATCAAGCCTTGCCTTTAGAATTCTTTAAAAAATATCTTCAAGCTGTCTATGGCAAAATCTGTGGATGCAGAATCCGTGGATATGGAGGCCTGGTTGAATTAGTATGCTATTCATGGTCTTTATCAAAAAGAGTATTGTGTTACAGATATACACTCTGTATTCATATGCCACTCAAGCTCTTCCTCAAAGATTTATATTATGTATTCATATACATATAGATGGGTCTCTCCATGGTGGTGCAGCAGGTTAAACCACTGAGCTGTTCAACTTGCTGACCAAGTGGGGTGAGCTCTTACTGTTAGGCCCAGCTTCAGCCAACCAATCACTTTGAAAACATGCAAATGTGAGTAGGTACTGCTTCTGCAAAAATGTAACAGTGCTCCATACAGTCATGCCAGCCACATGACCTTGGAGATGTCTACGGACAATGCCAGATTTTCGGCTTAGAAATGGAGATGAGCACCACCCCCTAGAGTTGGACACAACTAGAATTAATGTCAGGGGAAACCTTTACCTTTTATACATATAGATAGATTTTGATGAAGACTTTTGGTTTTAAATGCTTATTTACATTTTATTTTATACATGGTTTTATGTGTTATATATGCTGATTGTTTTGCACTTGTATTGCTTTTAATATGTTGCAAGCTACTTTGCGTCCCTTTGTGGGAGAAAAGCGGATACAAATAAAGATTTATTATTATTATTATTATTATTATTATTATTGGGTTGCTGTGAGTTTTCCAGGCTGTATGGTCATGTTCCAGAAGCATTCACTTCTGACGTTTTGCCTGCATCTATTGCAGGCATCCCCAGAAGTTGTGAGATATGTTGGAAACTAGGCAAGTGAGGTTTATTTATCTGTGGAATGTCCAGGGTGGGAGAAAGAACAATTGTCTGTTTGAGACAAGTGTGAATATTGCAATTCGCCACCTTAATTAACATGGAATGGCCTTGCAGCTTCAAAGCCTGGCTGCTTCCTGCCTGTGGGATTCCTTTGTTGGGAGATGTTCGCTGGGCCTGACTGTTTCCTGTTTGGAATTCCCCTGTTTTTTTAGTGTTACTCTTTATTTACTGTTGTGATAGTTTTTAGTTTTTTATAGTTTTTTAATACTGGCAGCCAGATTTGGTTTATTTTCATTTGGTTTATTTTCATTTTTATTATTATTATTATTGGGTTGCTATGAGTTTTCCGGGCTGTATGGCCATGATCCAGAAGCGTTATATCCTGACATTTCACCCGCATCTATGGCAAGTATCATCAGAGTTTGAGAGGTTTGTTGGAAACAAGGCCCAGGAATCCTTTGTTGGGAGGTGATTAGCTGGCCCTGATTGTCTCTTGTCTGGAATTCCCCTATTTGATTTTGTTCAATCTCCCCAGACAGGAAGCAGCCAAGCTTTGAAGCTGCAAGGCTATTCAATGCTAATCAAGGTGATCAATTGCAACATTTATACTTGCCTCCGACAGACAAGAGTTCTTTCTCCTTCCCACACAGCACTCCCGACAGATCATATGGGTTAAACCCTTGTGCTGGCAGGATTGCTTACTGACAGGTCTGTGGTTCAAATCCGGGGAGAGCGGGTTGAGCTCCCCCTGTCAGCTCCAGCTCCACATGCAGGGACATGAGAGAAGTCTCCCACAAGGATGGGAAAACTTGCAGTTTCTCAAGTCGCTCCTGACACCAATATAGATAAATAGAATCATAGAGTTGGAAGAGACCCATAGGCCACCCAGTCCAACCTCTTGCCAAGAAGCAGGAAAATCGCATTCAAAGCACCCCTGAAAGATGGCCATCTAGCCTCTGTTTAAAAGCCTCCAGAAAAGGAGCCTCCATCACACTCCTGTGCAGAGAGTTTCACTGCTGAACATCTCTCACAGTTAGGATGTTCTTCCTCAAGTTCAGATGGAATCTCCTTTCTTGTAGGCTGATGGCCATCCCAACCTAAAGAGAAGGAGCCTCTACCACACTCCTGTGCAGAGAGTTCCACTGCTGAACAGCACTCACAGTTAGGAAGTTCTTCCTTGAGTTCAGATGGAATCTCCTTTCTTGTAGTTTGATGGCCATCCCAACCTAAAGAGAAGGAGCCTCTACCACACTCCAGGGCAGAGAGTTCCACTGCTGAACAGCTCTCACAATTAGAAAGTTCCTCCTCAAGTTCAGATGGAATCTCCTTTCCTGTAGTTTAATGATCATCCAAACCTCCAGAGAAGGTGCCTCCACCACACTCTGAGGCAGAGAGTTCCACTGCTGAATAGCTCTCACAGTTAGGAAGTTCCTCCTCAAGTTCAGGTGGAATCTCCTTTCCTGTAGTTTGAGGGCCATCCAAACCTCCAGAGAAGGAGACTCCACCACAATCTGAAGTTCTTCCTGATCATTTTCCCCCTTAGTAACCTGAATCTATCACTCTATCTACAGCTGAACTTTCTAGTGTCGCTTTCAAGCCGAGATACCAGTTTGGGGAAGCAGCAAAGCCACCAGTTGGAGAGGAGGAAGGGGAAGGGAGAGAAGAGCACGATGCCCTGCCCCATGTACCTTGGTGCCTTGGAAGAAGTCGTCCTTGGACTGGGTGCCCATGAAGGGGAACTGGAGGTGGGTGTGGGTGTCGATGCCCCCGGGCAGGAGCAGGAGGCCGGCGGCGTCCACCACCCGCAGCCCCGCGGATGACGGGGGACGCAGCCCGGGCCCCACCGCCCGCACCACTCCGTCCTCCACCAAGACGTCCGCCTCCTGCGAGCAGTCGGCGTTCACCACTCGCCCCCCGCGGATCAGGAGCCTCTCCATGCTGCCCTTGGAAGAAGGAAGCACACTCACGCCGCGCGAGGAAGCAAGCAAGCAAGCCCGGCTTGGCCGAGCAGAGCTTTCCCTTTTGAGCAGCTTCCCTCCCTGGACCGGCCCCTGAGTCTAGGGTGGAGCCTCCCACCAAAAGAACCACTCCCCAAAGGTCCAAACAAATCTCCCTTTGGCTCTCTTTACGGTCTTGGGTGCGTCTATAGCAAGCATGCAGGGCCATAGCCAGAAAAAATTTCGGGGAGGGTTGAAAATTTGGGGGGGGGGTTTGAAAATTTCGGGGGGGGGGGGGGGGTTGAAACCTGCCTCTTAGGTCACGCTGAAGCAAAGAGCACAGCAGGGGCAGAGCAGCCTTCAATAGCCTGCAGCTCCGCCCCTGTCAACCACCTCCACCAAGTCTGGCCTCCTTAATGAGAGCATTCAACACCCCCCCCCCCCAACATGGTTGCTTTGCTACATCGGCTATGGCTGCAAGTAATGACAGTGTGAATAAATTGTCAATATTTGCTTGAGATAGTGCTTGCAGGGAGGGACTCTTAATTTTTTGCGTCTCATAGACTTAGCATAGGGATAAGCCACTGCCAGAAGGGACAGAAAGTTTCATCTATGCTGATGATCGTGCCATTACTGCTCAAGCAGGGAGCTTTGAGATGGTAGAACAGAAGCTTTCCGAAGCTCTAGGTGCTCTTACTGCCTATTACAGGGAAAACCAGCTGATCCCCAACCCATCTAAAACACAGACATGTGCTTTTCATCTCAAGAACAGACAAGCATCCCGAGCTCTGAGGATCACCTGGGAAGGAATCCCACTGGAGCATTGCAGCACACCCAAGTACATGGGAGTCACTCTGGACCGTGCTCTGACCTACAAGAAGCACTGCCTGAACATCAAGCAAAAAGTGGGTGCTAGAAACAACATCATACGAAAGCTGACTGGCACAACCTGGGGATCACAACCAGATATAGTGAAGACATCTGCTGCTGAGTACACATGCCCAGTGTGGAACACATCTCACCACACTAAAACAGCGGATGTGGCCCTTAATGAGACATGCCGCATTATCATGGGGTGTCTGCACCCTAAACCACTGGAGAAATTACACTGCTTAGCCGGTATTGCACCACCTGACATCCGCCGGGAAGTAGCAGCCAATAGTGAAAGGACCAAGGCAGAGACATCTCCAGCTCATCCCTTGTTTGGGTGTCAGCCAGCACGTCAACGACTTAAATCTAGAAATAGTTTTCTAAGATCTACAGAGACACTCGCTGGAACACCTCAGCAAGCGAGAGTCCAAACCTGGCAAGCTCAAACCCAGAGCCTCAATCGATGGCTGATACCAAATGAGAGACTCTCCCCTGGGCACACAGAGGACTGGGTGACTTGGAAGGCGCTGAATAGACTGCGCTCTGGCACCACGAGATGCAGAGCCAACCTTCAGAAATGGGGCTACAAAGTGGAATCCACAACATGCGAGTGCGGAGAAGAGCAAACTACAGACCACCTGCTGCAATGCAACCTGAGCCCTGCCACATACACAATGGAGACCTTATTGCGGCAACACCAGAAGCACTCCAAGTGGCCAGCTACTGGTCAAAGGACATTTAATCAACTACCAAGCTTGCAAACTCTGTGTTTTGTATGTATGTATGTATGTATGTTTGTTTGTTTGTTCTGTAAAAAATGTAACACAACTGTTCGGTTGCCTGGCACGATAAATAAATAACGCTATGGAATTCTGGCAAGTTGTAGTGTGGTGCATGCTGAAGACCTTGCAAAACTACAACTCCCATAATGCTCAGTTTAAAGGGATGTCAAGCTGCAGCAATTCTACAAGTCTAGGGGCACCCTTAGAAAGGCATATATAAAGGGAACGCTCGTGATTCAATATATATATATATTGAATCACGAGCGTTCCCTTTAAGAGACAGGCTCTCCTTGGCCGGCTCTGCCTTCTTCGCCTGCTCCTGTCAATCAGGCTGGGAAGGGGCGCAAGGCCGAAGGCGATTGGCTAGCTGGAGGAACGCCCCTCCCCGCGCTGCTTCAGAGAAGAGAGAGGGGGGAAAGGAGAGGCAGAGATGGCAGCAGCAGAGGCGCACCGGGTGCTGGTCTATGGAGGGCGGGGAAGTTAACCAGTTAACCAAATTCATTACTAAACCAGTTAAAATTAATGAGTAAACCAGGTTTATTTTTTTTAACCTGAAAAATTTCGGGGGGGGGGTTGAACCCCTCCCCCCCCCCCCCTCGCTACGGGCCTGCCAGCATGGGCAAACTTGGGCCTTCCAGTTTGGACTCCAACTCCCACCATTCCTAACAGCATCAGGCCCCTTCCTTTCCCCCTTCAGCTGCTTAGGGGGACTGTGCAAGGAAGCTGATGAAACCATATAGATCATATCCTCAGCTGTTGCAAAAAGATCACACAGAGGGACTACAAACAAAGGCACAACTCTGTGGCCCAAATGATTCACTGGAACTTGTCACAAGTACCACTCTGCCAGCAGTAAAGAATTGGTGGGATCATAAACCTGCAAAGGTAGTGGAAAATGAACACACAAAAATACTCTGGGACTTTCGAATCCAGACTGACAAAGTTTTGGAACACAATACACCAGACATCACAGTTGTGGAAAACAAAAAAAGTTTGGATTTATTGTCGAAGGCTTTCATGGCTGGAATCACTAGGTTCTTGTGGGTTTTTTCGGGCTGTATGGCCATGTTCTAGAGGCATTTTTCCTGATGTTTCGCCTGCATCTATGGCAAGCATCCTCAGTACCTCTGAAGATGCTTGCCATAGATGCAGGTGAAACGTCAGGAAAAATGCCTCTAGAACATGGCCATATAGCCCGAAAAAACCCACAAGAACCTAAAGTTTGGATTATTGATGTTGCTATACTAGGTGACAGTTGCATTGAGGAAAAACTACAGGAGAAACTCAGCCGTTATCAGGATCTCAAAATCAGATTGTAAAGGCTCTGGCATAAACCAATACAGGTGGTCCCAGTGGTGATCGGCACACTGGGTGCCGTGCCAAAAGATCTCAGCTGGCATTTGGAAACAATAAACATTGACAAAATCATGATCTGTCAACTGCAAAAGGCCACCTTACTTGGATCTCCACGCATCATTTGAAAATACATGACACAGTCCTAGACACTTGGGAAGTGTTCGACTTGTGATTTTGTGATACAAAATCCAGCATATAGATCTCGTTTGCTGTGACATACTGTGTTTTTTGTCAGTAAAATAATAATAGTAATAATAATAACAACAACACTTTATATTCCGCCCTTCTCACCCTGAAGGGGGCTCAGGGCAGATCATAGTACACATACACGGCAAACATTCAATGCTGCTTTGTATAGACAATACAGACAGACTGAACAGAAGGAGGTGCCAAGGAAGGTTGGGCTCGAGTCCAGGGGGTGCTGTTGCTCTATGACGAAGAGTCGTCAGGACTTCCTCCTTCCTTTTGGTCACTCAGCATTTTCTTCTTACTTTATGGTGTCGTAAAACACCTCCCCCGCTATTTAGCGGTACCGAATTTCTCTAATTACAGCTAAAGCTGTGTTCGAATTGCTTAGGTAAACAATGAGCTAGGCTGATAGTTGGTAGCTCATGCCAACCCGGGGCTTCGAACTTGCAACCTTTTGGTTGATAGAACTTATAATTGCTGATGATTTACCAGCTGTGCTAAACCTCCAGCCCCAAGTAAAGGTAAAGGTTTCCCCTTGACATTAAGTCTAGTCATGTCCGACTCTGGGGGGTGGTGCTCATCTCCATTTCTAACCTGAAGAGCCGGTAGTGTCTGTAGATGCCTCCAAGGTTATGTGGCCAGCATGACTGCAGTGCCGTTAGTGCTGTTACCTTCCCCCTGCTCCCTGGATTCGAACCACTGACCTTTTTGATCAGTAAGTTCAGGAGCTCAGCAATTTAACCCGCTGCGCCACCAGGGTCTCTTCACTATAGTATATTGGGTGTTTAAAAAGTATTTAGCCACACAATACATCATTTGCAGTCGGTCCTGTCTTTGTCTTGGGAAGCCTATATAATATATGGACTTGCTGTCTTGTTGTAAATACAGGAAGGGTTTGGTGGGCTTTGACCTTGGGTTTTGCAGTTATAGTTCACCTACATCCAGACAATAATGGATCTGGACCAAACTTGGCTTGAATACTCAATATACCCAAATGTGAACACTGGTGGAATTTGGGGAAAATAGACTTTGACATTTGGGAGTTGTACTTGCTGGGTGTCAGGAATGGCCTTCATGCTAGACAAACGCAGCTGGAACCATGAAGACTCCCTTCCTGACAGAAGGATAGTTTATGATTTGATAGGGGGCCATCTGGTTGCAGAAACCGCTTTGTAGATGTGGGAATGGAATGTAGCCACAACTTGCGATAAGGGGGGGAGAAGGGAGGAGGCAGAGGCCAGAGGGGAGGTGTTGCTGAATGTTGGCGGGAAGCCTCAGATCTCTCTTTGCATGACTCCTGTATGGACTGAATAAACCGATATCCAAAGAATCTGCTTTGTGAGTGCGTGTTTCATTCTGAGATCCCGCAGGATCTGACATAAAGAGAGATCTCACAAAATTCTTGCTCAATCCGTGAGGAAACATCTATCCGGGAAGCAAGCTATGTTCGAGGGTGAGCCATTCACGGGGCCCGGGGCCAGCGCGGATGCCTCCTTACCCACGGAGTTCGGGGACGAGTCAGAGGACGAGCGGTGCCCTAGAGAGGAGAACCTGGAGGAAGAGGCCCCTGCTGCTTGGCCGCCGATGACCTCCACGCAGATGCCCGTTCGGAAAGACGTGACGGTGAGGCGCAAGCTGCCCATGTCGGGGCTCCAGGAACCCTTCGGGGAGCCCCCGTCGGATACGAGGCGACTAGAAGAGAAGGTCGATGCCATGGAGCGCATGCTACAAACATTCTCATTCCAGTTGGATGAGATGCGGAAGGAAGTGGCAGCATCCTGGAAAGCGGCTCTGGGAGAGAGAGAGCAGAGGCGCTCACAGACGCAAGGTACTGGATATCGGCCTTCAGGGAGAGTGGGGTTTGCAGCGGAAGGGGAGCAGCCCTATCCACCTC